ATAAATCTGTGTCCAATAATTTTGTGTCCAATAATTTGGTGTCGAATCGATCGGTGTCGAATCGTACTGTGGTCAAACGGAACACGCCCTTTTATGTCCGTTTCCGATTTGGATGATGTTACCGAGGACATTGGAATGTTAAACAAAATATTGTCGAAACCGAAATATCCACAATTTGGCACTTATGAAGCAAGAATCAATACATTTGAAGCATGGCCAAAATCATCAAAACAAACAAAACAAGATCTTGCAAATACTGGATTTTATTACACGGGGAGAGATAATCAGACGTTGTGTTACTATTGCGGAGGAGGATTGAGAGATTGGAATCTGGAAGATGTTCCTTGGGAGCAACATGCAAAGTGGTTTGAATACTGTCCGTTTCTGATTGTTTGCAAAGGACGCGATTACATAAACACAGTCATTAACGGAACATATTATACACGGAACAATTCAATTAATTCACCTAAAGAAATACAAGAAGCAGACGAGAAAGCGGACGAAGATACTAGCATATTGCAGCAGAATGTGGTACTTTTTATTGTTATAGTAGTTTTATATGTTGTTATATTTGTATTATATAATGCTTATTTTTATAACGTGTATATTAGTGTATAATACATGAATTCTTTATTATTACAACTTGTTGTCTAATCCAACTCTGATTTTCTTTTAATACACAGAACTAGATTAAGTACTAAAATATGTATACTCCGTCATTGTTATTTCTTGCCAACAACCTTTGCAACTTACAATTAGTCATATTCGTCTTGATTTGCACTGCGTTTTACACATATGATATGAAATTGCAATTCTGCAACTGTCTCGTCTTACTCGCTTCGCTTCGCACCGCGTTACGAAACATAATATAATCACACATATATGTGTAAGAATATGTCAAACGAAACATACTCAATCCACGTTTAATCCCGATTGTACCATGTTCAATAATACTTGAACCGTGTGTAATCACACTTAAACCGCAAAACAAACCACGTTCAACCTTGGTCGTATTATAATTAAACCATTTTCAACTATAATCGAACTACGTTTAACCAACATCGAACCACGTTCAACCATAATCAAACTACGTTCAACCATAATTAAACCATAAACAAACCACGTTCAACCATAATTGAACCACGTTCAACTATAATCAAACCATAAACAAACCGCGTTCAGTTATGAAACCGTGTTAAGCCGCGTTAATTAATATAAACAAATGCTATGGAGGAGAAGGGTAGTAAATGTACAAAGTTGTTTTGTATAACAGTTTATTGTCGTTTAGACCACCAATTAAATATTGTAAATACATTTGGTAATGCACAATGTTTCACATGTTTTTCACATCGTAGACAATTCAATATATTCAGTTTATTTAAAGAAGCAATATCGTCGTAATTGGCATCCAATGTTTTAATAATTAATCCATGTCGTACGTCACTATCAAGAATATCAGCTANCCAGTTACATTTTTCGGGACCTTTACCATAGACGAGTGAAGATGCGTCGTCATCATTTTCTGCGGTGCCGCAAATAACTGTTGTAATCAAATTCTTTGCTCTGCGGTATGCAACACTTCCATCCTTCCAACGCAGACCATGATGATACATCATCAGCCAAGAAGCTGCTGATCTGTCTGATCTTGCGAGTAGACTCCACGGAAAGGGACTTCCAAAAATGTAATGCGAGAGAACAGTGCCCTTTCGCAATACCGCTACTTCCTTGACAATAAATCTTTTTCCGACTACAAATCCTTGCAGGTCTACAAACGTCGGCACAACCATGTTGACGTAATCGTGTGACCAACAAAAGACAATTGCTATCTATCATAAAGTACTTTTGCTTTTAAACGATTTTCAGATTATAGAGGGGAGAAGCGCTGATGTTGCAGTTTATGTAATTTTGCGCACTACGTTGGTTAATGGATTGTATTCAATAACACGATCGTGCAAAATGAGACAATAGGCTGTAGTATTTGCTGGTATATTTTCTTTGCAATCGAATTCAATTCGTACATCGACGGTTGCACTTTTGACCGCCTCGTTTTGACGCGAACAATCAATGACCACTAAAGGACCACATTACAGAAAGTTGGAAATCGTGAGAAACGGTACGACAACACCACATCCGTAATACGCTTTACGGAAATGTGTGTACATATGGTACAAAACGGCATATTTATTTCTATCGAAATCTAAATGCAAGTCGTCATAAGAATAGAATTCAGAATTGAGATAAAGTTTTACGTTGGTCAACTGACAGTGATCGAATCGCGTGACATCTGCTGACGTATCGTTTCTTCGAGCAGTCTGTAGCGCAAATATGACGTATCTCGGTTTCTCAAGTTGTGTCGCCGTTTTTACGCCCACGAGTGTTTAGTCGTGCTTTGTAATAAATTTGTAATGGAAACTCATAGAGATCCCACGAGCGGAAACTCATGGTCAAATACCGTCCGCTTTCCAGAGTTCGTAGCAGCGAGAGCTTCGTGACATCGTTCAATACTACATATGGCATTCGCCATTGTATTTTAAATAATTCAATTTTTCCATTTAATGCTTCACCATCTACCTCAGAAACTGCTGTTATGCAGTTTTTGTCGTTGCGCGATTGTATTAAAATTAGTTCATGACGTGCATTGATAATGGTACGCTTGTAGTTCTCGCAAAATCCCAATAACATGCTGAGAGGTACGCAGAAACTAAAGTAACTATCTACGTCTGTATGTTGTGTAATATCCCATCCAGCATTNTTCATGGCCATGCTTTTATCATGTGTTAGCGATACATAGTTTTTGATTGTGCTGGTTATTCCAACGTTTCTATTACAATCAATCTCCATACCATTGAGTTCATAGCGAATCTCATCGAACATAAAAACTACACAATTATTACCCAGAAAAACTTTTTCTTTGTCTTTCGTCGTTAACGTCATTTTTCCTTCAACGTAAAGAAAACTTTGACACGGTAAAAGTAAAGTCCTGCTGTTGTATAGGTATGCGTATCTCATCACTGTGTTCAAATGTTGTGTTCACGTACGGATTGTACGTGTGAGTTTCAATCTTAACGATGCGATCGTCAAAGATCGGCTCACCTCCAACGTTTAAAACGTTGCACATATTTTCAAAATTCTCGTGCAATAAATTCCAACGATTGTAAAAATTTAACGTTTGTTGAACTTAACTTCTTCTGATTACTGTACGTCGTAGTAGTAGCAGATGTTTGTAATGAAAACCTTGTATCTCGCGTTACTTGATCCGCCTCGTTTAGCACGAGCATGCCGCGTATTACAGCCGTCGTCGTCGCACGTGTAACCTGGCGGTTATTTCTTCTCCTCGAAAATCAAGCAATTGTCCGTTCTGATCCACAATGCGTATCGTCAGATCTGTAATGCTCTGTACGATGATCGGAAGATAAATGATCTGTGCCGGTGTTTACGAGATCTTATATCCTGGTGGTACGTTCGGTGAGAACTCATGTATCGTATGCACACACCGGTTGTTGCTGTACGCATCCGCAGTCACGTTGCACTCTATGCAAATAATGTTTACGTTGATAATATTATAATCGGCACGTCTGATACGTACCATTGTAGCGGCTCTAAAATACGAGTTGATGAAAAACCTAAAAACAATCCAATGTTGTCGGGTTTGGTAAAATTTATTTGATAAGCGCAGTTTATTTCACTTTTCATTGTATTAGTGTTTGCGCGTAATATTAATGGAGGGATATTCTCATCCTTATCTTTGCTTCTTACATTACGTTGCATCATTGCATGTTGCAGATAATTGTTAATATCCCGCAATTTGTACGATCCGTCAGGAATTATAATCTGCTTGTCATCTGTATTGTAATAAAACTTATTGTTCGACGAATTCACATTCGGTATCGATGATACGTTTCAAAATCTGTTAGTCCAAGCTCGTAATCACCGTCACTTAAATCAATGGCGGGGAAGTAGCTGACTGCAAGAGTGCTACTTTTGCCGGTAAGTGTGAACGTCAGTGACATGTTGTCGAATGTGTAATGAAGTCAGATAGCGTACTATTTAAATGAATATTGCTTATCCACCGCTTGAAGAAACCGCAAACATAGTTTGCCACAATTGCTTTGATTGTAACGTTAATAAGACGTACGGTTATATTCTATTTTGTCCACAGCATGTTCTAGATAACGTATCACCTCTTTTGGTAGTCGAAGATTGCCGAAACTGTCAAAATATATGACATGTTTTCATTCGTCAAAAATATTGCGCTCTGAAAACCGGTAAACTAGAAGAGAAAATTGCTTTAGAGAGACAGTTCAAACCTATTATTAAACCCTTAAAACATATTGCTGAAAATACTGAAACTAATTCACCAAATACATCGTTTCTCAAAGACGAGACCCAAATGAAGCGGAAACGAATGCAGACGTCATCGAACGAAACATTGTCCCTTAATCTGCACAATTCAAAACGCGCACGATATAACACTGCAATGGTGACTTCTACTCCAATGAAAGAACAAAACGACAATTGACATGGGATACTCCATCGGTTGATACTATCGTTGCCACTGATACTACTGCCAACATATCGTTTGAGTCGACTATTCAACGTCAAATACAAACGTTGGAGGGTCTAGAAACGTTTAAAAGTCACTTTGGACCGTTGGCGCAACAATATATGAAAGCTATTCTGAGTGGTAAGAAAGAGAACGACATAGACTACGTATATGGTGTGTATTTCGACAACGATGGAA